TTTCATAAGAAATCCATATAGTCATCAAAGTTTACTCGGTCTTGGTAAAGGCACGTTTCTGTAAAAAAATTTGTTCAAACAAGAATACAATTTTTTTTTATTTAAACGTTACCTTCGTTATTTTTCTGCTAGATTTTATACAATATTTCTTTACACTGTTAACTAATTGAAACATAAATTTACATAAATAAAAAATGCTTTACCAATGCCGATATATTGTAAATTATAAATAATGTTGAGAGAAAAAGAATGCTTTGCAAGAAAGCAAAGTATTATTTTGTATATATTTAAGTTAAAAATTTCTATAAGAACTAAACTATATCTCTTGTAATATGTTACTAATCTTCTCAAAGAACACTTCACTTATTCTAAATCCGCTTTACGTAAAGGTAACTTGATTTGTATACCTAGTGATTGTTCTACTACCACCACTCAAGTTATCGCAAATGATTGGTATGAATTTGTAAAGATAAACAAACGAAAATAATATATGCACATGCTTACCCTGTGCCATGACGTTGAGCAGGTAAAGAGCCACATTGATATGGTGGTGGTTCCTGTTCGTAAACACTGGTTTTATTTGAATAGTTTATTATTTAACATGCATATATTTGAATTTCTAATAATTGTAAATATACCTGATTTCCTTCTATATCAGAAAACCTTCTCTTCACTCCATGAGGTTTCTGTTGTTCAGGCGAATCCGGCTTTTGTTCAAATGGTTGATGTTGAGGTGTTTGTACTGTATAATGTACTTGCGCCGGTATATGCCCATTTTGATATTGCATATGGGGAGTATGATACTGTATTTGCGCTTGTATTTGTGGCGGTGGTGCATTATGAATGGGCATATTTCCAGGTGGCATTTGTACCTAGGGGAAAATAGTTAGCACATAAATGTCGTAAAATATACACTACTTCATTTGCATACATTTATATATTTTGATTTTTGTTATTTATTCGTAGGATTACCTGTAGTTGACCCTGGGAGTGAGGTATCTGCTGCGGTTGCTGCGTTTGATAAAGCCATGGAGCATTTTGTGGAGGAGGAGGTGCCTGCGTTGGCGGAGGTACACTAGTAAGAACATTCATTGAATTTTGCATTTGTGCCACTGATGGAGGAGGTACTATTTGCGGAGGTGGTACCGGCTGTGGTAGTGGACTTTGTTCATCTTGTTGATGCTGAATTTCACCTCCTTGAGGTAATGGAGGTTGCTGATGATGTTGAGGAGATGGAGCATTAGGAACTAAAAAGGTTTGAGTAGATGGTGGTGGAACTTGTAAGTGAAATTGTGGAGGATGACCCTCAAATTGAGGCGGGATCATATGTTGTGCTACTGCTTGAGGTTGTTCATGATTTTGTTGTATTTGTGGTGGCATAATATGTTCTCCAGGCTGTAGAACAAACTGTGCTTGTGATTGTGGCACAGGCGCCTGTACCTGCTGATATTGTATTTGATAAGTCTGAGGTACGGGAGGTGGTGGTTGATTTGGAGGGAAGTTAGGTGGAGGAAAGTGAAGATGTAATAATGGAGGTGGAGGTTGTTGAGATATATTTAGAGGAGCTGTTGGAGGTGGTTGTTGTAAGTTAACATTGACAGTCTCAATCATCCCTTGTGAAGGTGTTGCAGGTCTTTGTACACTGGGTTGGGTATAAACATATGACACTGCCCCACTAACTGGCACACTGGCAGTTGAAATATAATTTTGTTGAGCTGGACTTGGTGGTGGTGGTTGACTCATAACATACATTTGAGTAACAGGCTGCGGTGATGCTTGTGACCCCGATTGAATACCTTGAATTTGTAGCGGTTGACCAGGATGAATCTGATATTGCACTTGACTTACACTTGATGGAGGCCCAATTAATTGTACTTGTCCAACAGGTGGTGGCGGCATAAAAGTCTGTATTTCCTTAAAATAAAAGGGCAACTATAGAAAGCCTTAACCCTTTCGCTACGGGTGGGTTCTCCACCGCGGTACTTCCGCTGAACGAAGTGCCGTGCTGTAACATCACTGCACGCTACACGACGCCGATCGTCAGCGGGAGTACCGCGACGGAGAACCTAAGCTGCTTGAATGTTTTAGAACGAAAAAGTTTTTCTCCAAAGGGTATTTATAAATAAAGGGTATTCCAGGGTATTTATAACGTCTTAGCATGCGCTCTTTAATTTACATTGCCATTGGCATTAATACATTGCAATTACAGTGGCATCTTATGGAGAGCCACTATAGTGGCCCGTAGTAGCGAAAGGGTTAATAAAACCCTGTTGATAGGCAACAATATATACTCCGTCAACATTAACAACGCCATCTAGTAGTAAAAAAATTTTTTAAGTCCCTAAATAAAGCAGTACTTTTTACGCGACCTTAGTTACCTTTTGAAACAGCAAAGGTTATCAACAGAACATGAAATAATAACTGTTTCTCTAATCGATATCATTATCTCTACTAATTTCTAACTAATTATAATAATACCTGACTTTGGGAAGGAGGTACCAATGGTCCTGAATGAGGTGGAATATGTACCCCTGGAGGAGGAACTGTTACTCCAGGACCTGGTGCTCCAGCTACCGTTGCCGTTAAAATAGTTGCTGGTAGAGTTACCACATTACTTTGAGGGTGCTGTATTATATCTATAAAAAATATTATCTCATATAGGTTTTCGTTCCATATGTATAAAAAATATTACGATATTAATCTATGATTACAAATTGTACCTTGATGTTGTATTGTAACAACATTAGGTTGCCCTAAAGTACCGATGTTCATAGTTTGAAACTGTGCTGTAAGATAATACAACTTGTTAGTAAATTGAATATTGAATCAATACTTAATAATAATATAAATGCAACAAAAAAGAGAAAACTATACATTGCTGTATTTGTGGTTGTTCTATAACTTGCTGAGATTGCACTGGTGGTGGCTGTTGCTGTATATAACTCTGCAGCTCAGATTGCATTGTTTGTATTAAATTAATTACTAACTGTTTTGCATTTTGTAATGCTTCTAGTTTTGGATGTCTATAAAATAAAAATTAAGATTAATTGAATTGATAATAAAATGTATAAAGAAATAATATCTTACTCTATATGTAAATGAAGTGGTTCAGGAGATTCAGATCCTAAAACGGGATCGATAAATTGCGAACTTCTACCCCTTAAAGTTACATTTGCACAAGTCTCTCCTCTTATATATAACAAATTAGCTCCACCAGGGCCTATGATTCTTCCTCGTAAATCAAATCCTTGAGGTGCATTTTCTATACCGATGCATATTTTTTCCTATACAAAAAAATACATATATTTTTCATCATCAAAGAGAAAATATTATTAAAAAATATACATTTTTTTTGTACCATTTTAAATGATACAATAATGAAATAAATCTTACCACTGATGTAATTCCAGAATGTAAACTCATAAGTGGTGGAGGTGCATTGGTAAATCGGCTTGGTCTGTTTAATGAACTTTGATGTTCTGTCTTAATAATTTCATTAATTTTTTGTATTGCCACTGTTAAATCAATGATCTTATTTTACAACTTTTCTATAGAAAATAAATTAATAAGAGATTAAATTACATACAGTCAACAGTATGTTTCGAATGTCCTTGTATAAATAAGTATAAAGGCCGTTCATTGGGACATCGTAACTTTTCCTGCTCCGTCATAAAACGTCCACGCGTTGACACTGTAGCTCCTAAACAAAAGACACAACATCAAAATTATTTAACATAAATACGAATATATTTTATAAAGAAATATTTTTTCTTAATCTTACCAGAAAAATTATTAATTTCATCTTGTGTATAACCTTTAGTAAGTAGAGTTCTAGCACTAGGAGGTGTCTCATTGATTTCAAACTCTGAAGTATATGTTTCCCCACTTTTAAAGGTTATCTGATTTATAATAATATTGTGTTAATAATATAAAGTAAATGAGAAAAAAACAAAAAATATCCGTAATAATAAATTCATGCATATACACTACCTTATTGCCTGATTCAGAATTTCTAATCTTGTCTTTAGCCATGGAGATTAAATGTGCACTATCCTGTATTTATATGAACTATGAATATTATTTAAATATCATATTAATTTCATTTTATATTATAAAATCGAACTTTTAATAATAACAATCAATGAAGTAAATTTCTCTTCGTTGCACTTGCAGATCATGTATGCATGATGATGTGTATGTGTGTGTGTGCATATGCATGTGCGTGTGGGTAAGTTAGAGGTTAAATTCGTAGACGTGTAATTTTTAAAGGTATTTTAATTAAAATTCATGATGATTAATTTTTACCTAAATACTTCAACATCCTTTCGTAACATACTAATCGTAATATATTATTCATAGAAGTATTTGTACAATTATTTATAATTATAAAATGCAGCCTGTTAGCATCGACTTGTGATGCTATTTGTCGTCACTTACTGGACAAAATTCAGCGATGAAACCACAATGGGGCAGCAGCCGACGTTATATTATATATCAACGATAAATCACGTGGCAACATATCAATTAATCTTAAATTTATTTTTAAATAATTCAAAAAATTCGATAATTATCAATCAACTGATCATTATGTTTTATGAATTCATTAAGTTTCTAGGATAACATTTTACCATCATTTTGTTTTATCATGTTATCGATAAATATTTTCATTTTCAAAATTGCATTTAATTACTTCAATATTTTTCATAATTATTTTAATTTCCTTTACGATACTATACATTACATATTCTACTTTAATGTATAAATTAGTCTACGCTAATATTAGCTTCATAATTGTCTTAAAACTACACGTGATATGAGTACAAAATGATACTGTAGAGTAATCTTTTATAATTTTCGATTATTATGAACAATCGATATATTATAATAAGAAATGTTATAATCGCAGGAAAATTTTCTTGTTTCCAATTGTCTAACAAAAATACATATTCTAAGAAAAATAAAAGCAATAAAATACGAATTCAACGAAAGGAAACATGAAGTCATTGAACAAATACTTTATTTCAGTACTTAACATTATATGTGCATTTCTGTTCTATAAATACAATTGAATTTTAATTACAAATTATTGTTCACGCAATTATAATGCTAATGAAAAATAATATTGCTAGGATTAGTTTAATATTTCTTGTGCAGATATTTTTATATTGTTGACTCGGTTGCATTGTCAATCGATATTGAAGCAAATCTCAAAATTTATATTGTTGTCTCATCTAATAATGGAAGAAGTTCATAAATTCTGTAATATTTTCCTTCAAATCCAGTGGCAACTAAATAATATGATTAGAAAGGGTTATATTGTTTTAACTTTGTTATTTTTTTTTGTTTCTAATAAGAATGTGTAGATACTTCAGAACAATCTTTTACTAAAAAATGTAATAATGTTAGGAGCAATATCATAATCAGAGACAATTGTCGTAAAGAATAATAAAACATTAGAAATCGACGAATATATTATATCTTCCTTCATATTATTAACCCTTAAGGAAGAATATTCAAACATGGTTGTAGTTCTTAGACACTAATGTTTTACTATTCTTTTGAACAACTGTTCTTCTTCATTAACTTTTTTTTTTTTATATTAGATTGTGAAATACGTCTATATAGAGAATATTGCATACTTTCCAAAATCGATATGAGATTCCTCTTAAAACTAATTTTTACTAAAAAATATTTCAGAAGCATTAGGCTCTGTTATTCTTGCTTTGCATTGAGATACATTGCATATGTTGTTTTATTAGCTATTTTTAATCAACATATATATTTATTGAGAAAAAAATAATTGTTTTTCATTGCTATTTCGTTTAAATAACAAAACTTCTCTCTCTCTCTTTTTCTGTTTTATATTTCTTTTCCTTTTCAAATATTTAATTATCTTCTTGTTTCAAGTATACACTAATCAAAAGGATAGAAAAATAGACAGATTGTCTTCAGTTGTAATAATTGATATCGATTGCAGAATGGAATTTTGATTAATTAGATAATGAAAAGATAAAATATTTACTTCACATTTGAATGTGTATCAGTGGCACAGATCAGTCTCTTTTTGTAATAAGGCCCTCTTAAGACTCACAATTTCCATTCCCAGTGCTCAGTATGATACAGAAAGATCTAAGCACCATTTGTCAACAGAATAAAGCTTAAGCAAAAGCTGCATCCCTTAATATAAATCGAAGACACCGTTCATAACAAAATTTAAAATTGCTTAATCCTTTGGCATGTTCGTGGACTATTTATGCTGACTACATCACTCTATTTGACATCCGTAAAATATGAACATATTTCGATCGAAACAAAATATAATCTATCTTTATACAATTTAATTTATAAATAATTTATCGATTAAAGAGCAATGAATAAGGTAACGGGAGGAATGTTATATTTGTGTCCACGGTATTTTCTTAAGTGTAAAAGATAAGCTCAGGAATTTGTCCTTCTTCGACGGAAGTTCCATTATTATCACCAGCTTCGATATTAAAATCAAATTTTACTCTTCCATTTCCAGAATCGCAATCAACCAATATCGTTTTCACACCTTTTGTTCCATAATGAGAATAAGGACCCTAATGAACAAAGTTTAATATAGAATACAAAAACAATGATAAATATTGTATTAATTGTATATCATAATATATATCCACCTTAAATGTTGCAGATGCTGTATAAATAGTGTTTGGTAAAATTTCGGCTAAATCTTTAAACATTAAACGATAAGTATACTTTGAACCATCACAACTGAATGTTGTTGAATTCGAGGCTATTACTTTCCCAGATGCTGTATGTATTAACTCAACTAATACTTCGTATATCGCAGATCCATGCATACTGCCATAAACTCCATAACCAATAAGGAATATCCGTCTATCCACGCTAAATCTGTTGTAAATATTTTTGTTGTTGTAAATGTGTGCGCTTAATGTTATTTATAATGCATATAAGTATATACCGAATACGATCACTTGTTCCATTGTAACCCCATTTACTTTTGGTATGCTGAAATCTACACACAGTCTGTTCTTTCCCAGTCATACAACAACGTGGCATAGTTTGAAAACTTACTGTTGGCTTTGGGTTCAGTATGAAATAGCAAAATAAAGATAAAACCTAGAAAAAAAATGCATTCAACATAATATATTTTTAAACAATGTTTATTATTATATATTGTTGATTGTATATCAAGCAGTCGTAATACTAGCCTCAGAATGATTTAATAATCCAGATTGTGCTGGACCGGCAGTAAATTCCTCTTTGGACATAAGAGGAAAACGAACTAGAGAAAGAGCATTGCCTAAAACCAAACGTTGATTCTTTGGAACAACTGGCAATTGCTGCCTTATACATTCTGCCTCTGACCATCTGTTCGAAATATGTAATAAATGACAAAATGCTATCGCTCATAGTTCGTTATACAAGACTGGTCAGATATCGCATACCTTAACACTGCCTGAAATATTTTAGATTCCCTGACTCGAAGTGTATCTCTTTCCAAAACAACCATTAACGTATCAATATCAATATCCACAAATCCATCAGCATTTAGGGCTTCTGTGGTAAATCTATCGATAGTATCCAAGCAGACTGCTGCTAATTGAGGTTCATCGAACAAACGAGCTTGCGTTAAAAGTAAAAAAGCATTGTCACTGGTTAAATTATTCTTCAAAAAATCGACACAGTGCTTTTCTAAAGCAGAAACGGCATACTTCTTAGCAGTATACAACGTCGTCATCACAGTTTCAGGATCTATTTGTATCTCATCTGTATATAAAAAAAGAAGAACTGCCAAAAAAGCAGCTGGTTCTACATCAGGTACTTCTATTTCTGAAGAAGCTGTAGCAAGTGTTCCGTTAAACATTGCATAAAATACGGCACTTCCAGAAGACAGGACTAGTTTGTGAGCTGGTATACGCTGTTGTTGAGCTCCCCGTCCTACCAAGAAGCTCACATCCGACAATATCTCGTTATTAAAAAGGAAAACAATCCTTTCGCGCATAGTAGCTTTTGTACCTTGCCAATTGTATGTAGTTACGGCTGATCCATGACTATTTTCAAATGCTACATTATTCTGAGGATGTCCATCAATGTGAATTGTATTAGCCGCATTAGTTGGAGGTCTGCTGATTAATCAAAACAAACCCAAATTTAAATGTCTTCGCATAGCAAGATAATAACATTTGGATTACATAAAATCAAATCGATATGTCTGACAATCGATAGAACATCAAAATGATCTTGATCAGGGATTAAAATACTTACTTATCACCGTTCGACGATGAAACGTCAAGGCCCCGCGAGGTAGAAGAAGTGGTAGGCTGTTCTTCGTCCCAAACAAAGTTAAGTGCACGTCGAGCACGAGATAGAGTCCCAATTGACTGTGCATTTTGTGCCGAATTCGTGGATTCATCTGCCACTGCATTATTTCCATTATGAACTTCCTCACCGTCTTCGTTACCTAATCGCAAATTGTGTATCCTCGAGACGACATTAGACACGTCGCCCAACGACGTTTCCGTTGACATTTTCACGCAGAAAACGTAGTATTTCTCGATATATTGCCCCGTTTCATTTATTCAATCGTATATCGTGTGTCACAACAAAACATATATTGACGTGAGGCGCCGTGCCTCTCAACAGTGTTCCATTTTCTTTGACGTTCCTATTTTTCTTTCTCTTTCTCTCTCTCTTTCTCCTTTTCCGCCCTCTTTTTTACGTTTTTTCCTTATTTTTCCGTTCTCTTTCTTACTCTTTTCTTATCTTTTTCTTTTTATTTTTATTTCTATTTTTCTTTTTTTTAAGGACTCTATGGACGATCGTTAAACTTACAAAATCGTGTTTTCAATGATGATGATAATCAGCCGTTAAAGAAGACGGATAAGTTTCATATATATTATATGACATCGTGTGTAAACGCCCTAATCTAATATCCAATATGCATACATTTCGTTAAATACACGTGCATGCGATTAATGATACCTTCAATTTGTAATACAAGACGGGTTTAAATCCACCATGGAATGAAAAAGTTAGATTCTTTACAGAAGTTATTGAAGAACACGTTTATTTATGGACGTATTTCTTTAAAGTCTGATTGTAATTATTTTGTTTACGTTGTGAACGACGTTTAAAGCGATGACAGCGACACCATGTATTTTTCAACGAATCCTACGAGTTTTATTATTTTGGTTGGTACATACATACACACACATACACACTCAGAGATATTCCATATATAAATTATAATTATTATTAATTTATAATTGCATTTAATTTTTAATAATAAGAAAGTATTCATTTAACTCTAATTTCGGATTTTTTTTTAAAGCGAAAACTAATAAATGTTTAGATGTAACGAAGATCATTTTTTGTTACCGATACTGTTAGTTTTCAATTTATACCGTAGATGGCTCTTCTAGTACATTATTGTTAGTTCTCAAAAGAACGAGACGCAGTCAAATACGGAATATATTTGTTGAATATTACAGTTTGACAACAAAAATTACGCACAAAAGTGGAAATAGGAAGAAAGAAGGAATAAGATTATTGATTCAGTTATTATTATAGATATAAAGGTAATTATGTCAAGCTTATTAAGAGGATTTTATTTGTTAAATAAGATTTTACTTTTTTCGAACTTGGTTATACTTGTTGAATAAGTGTATTTGCAATTATGCATTGCTGTAAACGTTGAAAACATGATAACGATTTATTTCACTTTTTCTCTTTGATATTAATATCATTTCTTTTTATATACATGTACAATGATAATAATCATAAATAATTATTTGATATATTATGGAAAAGAAATCTCAAAATGACTATTCTTGCGCGCGAACACAAATGTTCCGAAAATGATTTTTCATTTTTACACAATACGGAGGAAACTTTTAATTGTTAAAAAATGCAGGTTGTTAAAATCGTACATATTCATACATAGAGAGTTGCGTCAGAAAAATAATGTTTTATAACAATTGTATTTAATGACGTTTATGTACAATGTTTACACGGCGATACAGAAAATACTTCTGCAAGCCCTTAAGATTTTATGTATCATACATGAATATTATCAAGTCGAAGCCAGTTTGTTAAATCTATTAATACGACAATTATGATAATGTAAAACGGTATGAATACTTAAGGATCTGCGTTAATTAAAAATACTATAGGTAGAGAAATGTATCGATCGTTTATCATGTATTTACTTATACACGCATGCATACTTACACGTTCATTTTCAAATGATCGTGTAAGAAAACATTTATTTAATTTTTAAGTGACAATTAGGAAAAAAAAACGTATAGATCGAATGTTAACAAATATTGAGAGGTTACAATAGACCTTAATTTTTACACATACATATTTAAAAATACGTTCATATACGTATACTTAAACGATACGATATATTTCTTTAGAAATCGACGATTATATTATATTACCTACGCTCGAAAAAAAAAACAATACTTTAGTTCACATATAACGAAAGTAACTTTTGATTTATGTCCTTAAAGTAATCAGATTTGTTAATAGTTGTCATGGCCATCGCAAAGTTAACACTTCGCTTCCTATACCATTTCATCTCTCCAAACAACACCTTATCGAAGAGTAACAACTATAATTAAATATTATAATTGTAGAAAATTAAATAAGTGTGAGTGTGTGTTTTAAAGAAACTACGTTTTGGCTCTTCTCGAATTATTGAATGAAAAAAAAAAAAAAGAAATGAGAAATTAAAACGGGAAGCGCCCAGATCTATGAAACACAAGTAGCTTAGATTTTACAACTAATCGTATTTCTTTTTCTTATGATTAATTTTTCTAAAACTAGATACAATTTTATAATATGCACATAGAAAATATACATAATATAAATTTGTGTGGTTCAAATAAAATAAAAAAAAAAATAAAAAAGAAAAGAAGAGAAAAAAGGAAATAGAATAATCGTTCTCACGATTAAAAATATTAAATTAAGTAGACGATGTATCGAGTTAGGGAAACGTATCTCGATTGTAACACGCATTCGATGTCGTTACGTTGAATTCACTTTTCGTTTATGGTCGCAGGGGAGATACGAATCGAGTTCTTTCTCGATATTTCAATGTAAATTACTATATCAATAAATATGCAATGGTTAAGCGAATACGAAATTATTAAACGAAGTACGATGTTATGCGTATATATATCTATATATATATATATATAAACGGAATAACATCGAAAATATGGCGTTACTCGTGTTAAAACGTCTCTTTTTTTGTATTCTGCGATCAGCGAACCGACCACTGGTAACCTTTTTTTTTGTTTCATTTTGCAGTTCGACCAAACACGAGTTCGAGTCTCACGTCTCAAAGTCTGAATCTTGATCTCTTTGCTAGCGTAGTTTACTCTTCGCTTTCTTTGCCTTTGTCGCCATGGGTTTCTTCTTTTTGGGCTTTGGCATGATCTCGCAGCTGCAGCCGCTCCTTACCCTGATGTAGTCCAACGTCCACGTTGACCCGCTAACTGTGTTCCCAGGAAACGTTGGAAATCTGTGTTCCCTGTGATGATGCCTCCTGTGTTCTTCGGAGCCTCCCTAAACAAAATTCAACCATTTTGATTGTACACACGTGTATGTGCAAATATATTTATAATTGCATATTTAAATGTATAGATTAATTTAACGACTTAATTGAAATTTCTTTCTAACGAAAAATAAAATAACATTCGTTATAGATTATTTTCTGTACCTTCGTTCCAGGATTCTCGACGATGGCGTAGGTGTATGAGAATTTCTGTACGCATCTCGACTGGTTACTAAGCTTCCGGTCAACGAACCTGCAGGGCTTATCGAGGACGTCTGGCCTGCAGGAGTATTCGAAGAACCTCTGGGCATTTTCGCCGTCTCGATAGAGCTCAACATACATGTCTTGCCGATTTCGGCCGCCAACGGGCTCGACCATTTCCTCTATCGTTGGACAACAGTCGACTGCGAGGCCATCTTCGCCTCCCTCCTGGCGTAGAACCATCTGCATCTCTCGGTACGTCATCCGCTTGTTCGGGTCTTCCAGTGGCACTGTCCTGAAAGTTGTGTTACGTACAGGTCGTATGATATATTCAATGATTTATTAATAATTAATAAGCAAATGATAAGAACTTAGTGATCTATACTAACCAGCGAGAGATATGTCCTCTGAAGGGATGCTCTCTGGATTTACGAGAGGAGAAGGGTAAAGTGAGGTTGGCGGCAGCAAGCCGCGGGCACAGGACTGCGGTCAGCCAAACCACCTACGAGTAGAAAGATAATATCGCGTGAACATTTTCATCGTCTCTAATATATTTTATTTTATAAATAATTATTTTCTTTATTTTTCAATTGATATTTTAAAGGAGTTCGCAGCAACCATGATAGTCGTCGTATATTCATATTGATTATTGTTTTTAACATGTCGGGTAAAGAACAAGCGTGAGAAAGTATCTACAAGGAGATTAAATGCGAAAGTGTGTAATAAAGCACGATGTTAGTCACGCATCGTCCATACGGTACATGTATGAGCTTACGAAGGTGAAAACATTAATTCGGCTTATAATTTTTATGCAAAACAGGCCTTACGGCAAAGCCACGGCATTCTTCATCCACGAATGTCTGTCCCTTTCTACTCTTCTTCTCTCTACACCTTTTCCCTCTTTCTCTTGTATACTTTCGATTTAATTGCGCTACGTAACTCTGTAACCAGAAACTGGCAGTGGTTGTTCGATTTTGTGCACCATCACGGTAGGGGATACTACTCTTTTTTCATCATTGTGAAGGTTCAATGCGTGTAGTGTAAAATGAATTACGCCTTGGGCGATAATTACTACGGATAATAGGTTGGACGATATTTTGTGCGCGTGCACGTACGTACTTACAATACTCTTATTATTTTTAACATACTTGAAATGTAGCGAAACATTATGAGAAAGTATACGATGAAGGAGATATTATTAAGATGATTACCTTTCTTGTACGCTTGGTATTATTAATTGAAAACTTTATAATTTCAACGCAGGGATAACAATAAAATATAAACATATAAATCAATCTAATGTAATATATAATACGAATTAATATAATATTTGTTATATATTTTAATTACACACGCGAGTATAATCTCAACTATTGTATTTGTAGATAGAAAACAATTACATTTATAAATTTATAATTATTAGGTACACGTAAATACATAAATGTAAGTAGATGATATAAATAGCACCATTAACAAGGAAGGATTGAACCAAACCAACAGCTTTCCATCGTAAGAACGAATGTAATAACTGTCTATCGAGTTACAAGAAGGGAAGTTAGAGCCGTCATTGGTGTAATTAGAAGAAAGAGAGAGTACTCGCTTTGAAACTCGAGCCGCGTGTTAGTTGAAAGAGAAAAGAAACGCGGTGACTTGGGGATCGTGGTGTCGCATCCTTCCAAGATTTATAGAAATGGTACAACAAGAGATAACCGTTCCTGTAGAAGCTTAATTGAGCCATCGTTCTTTGGGGGGTGAACGGTTAACTAACTGGCGCCTCCCGTACGAAGAACTTACCAAGGAGGAGGAGTAGGAGGAAGAGGAGGAGGAGGATGAGGAGGAGGTAAAAGAAGTCGCGTACAGATTAAATGGATATTCACGCAGGCGGCGGCAACGGCCACACATCGAGTTCTGGGATCCTTATCGGATTCTTGCATCATTGGAACGAGCGAAAGAGTTCTCTCTTCGACTGCCATAGCTGCGATTTTAATCGATACTTATATGACTGTATCTCGCGAGCCTGTCCATGCCAAACGATTTCCAACGACGACATTTATCCTTAATTACTTCTCCAGAACATGAAAGAAAAAGAGAGAGAGAGAGAAAAAGAAAGAGAAAGAGAGAAAGGGGTAATGTCTTTCGGAATTTATTCGACGTTGAAATGAAAGGAAATATTTAGAGATCTCTTTATATTATATATACGATTTTCTTAACGCATTTCTCGAATCCTTCGATCCGAATCGTTATATTGTCTGATCAATCTGTTCAAGTGTCGTCGTTTTCGAGACTATTTAATTCGAGATTATGCTAATTAAGCTATCAACGACGTTTCATTCCAGTTCGATGTCGGTAATATACGTCTGCCTGCTCCGGATGTGTTCGTCGAAAAACGGGATCGATCTATTGGTTGTTTGTTTGTTTCTTTTTTTTTTTTTTTCCTTTCTTTCTTTCTTTCTTTCTTTCCCCTTAATTCTTCTTTTTTTTTTTTGCGATACATCATCCCAAGATACGAGGCTTTGGTTAACACGAGCGAGCATTCATTTCATCGTTCGTGATACACGCACCAACAGGCCGCCGATCGTCCAGCAATTTTAACTAATGACGGTCCAACAATTCTCCATGACCTCCTCCCCGATTATTATCAATCCTGCGGATAAAGATTTACAGTCGCGATGTGTCGAGTGTACGAAGGTAAACGTAACGTACGGCATCTGGATTGCAAACTCGTTTTGGCTTTTAAGAGTAGCGTTCTACGGCCAGAATTCACGCACTGATTGTGAAAGAAAAATATTGCCGATTACGTAGCTCGTAATTTCCTGATAGACGCTGATAGAGTTTAGGAGAATTCCAAACTTTGATTTTTTTATGGTTAACGTATCAGGCCCGACGAGATTCAACGTTACAGAAACACATTTTATTTCTATATACAATTGTTAGTAATTATTGTTTTTTTTCGATCGATAGAATGTTTTACTTTTATAAAAGGGTATTATCACTTGGGTTCGCTTGAAAAAAAAAAAATACTTTATGACGTGCTCGCCGTGAAAATAATTTGTAGTGTAATTAGGGGACCATAATGTTAGCCAGGACCGCACAGTAGTCTCGGGTTCTGGCATCTAGGACCAGTCTCAAGCTCGTATCTCACGAGTCCTGGAATGTGCTCGGCTTCATTGCGTTTCAGATACATACCTACATATAGGGTGAACCGATAACATTCAGAGAACCGGGACTCGTATCGAAAAGGCCGCTGCTTATCGCCGGACGTATTTATGTTTCTCCATGCCATCCGATCTCTTTTACGTGCTGCAAGGCGTGTGGGATCCGTCCGAACAGTGTATTTCGGTGCATTGATCTCGATTTATCTGATCGACGCCTTGCACGTCATTGCATTTTATTAACGTTTATTAGATACGAATACGTTCAAATCTTAGGAGTTTTGTGCGTTGAACCAATGATGATGATGATGATGATGATGATGATGATGTTACCTTTCGTTTATTTTAGTTCGTTAGAAATATTACAAGGAGAGAATAAGAAACGTTGACGTTCACTTTCTAAATTAACCTACCTAATTAACCGAGAAAATCGTTAACTATAGTAAATTGTCATTTTATTTACTTATTTAATATCGCGTCTAAATTTTAAATTTAACGTCTTGACAAGAAACATAATTTAGGGAAAGAAAAAAAATGTGATTAATTTATTAACGATACAACAACCATATTAGATCTATAAAATTTAATTGAAATTCGATCGAAATATTACGACAACATTAGCGATAAACTCACAATTCTACAACGCCATCGGAACGGATGTTGTTAGGAGAACAACTACTAGTGCCTGGAAAGCATTCTCTTCTGTTATTGGTTAAGAATTTTTCGCGTGTTCACCAAACCGATAGTACGATTGGACAAGCACGAAGTAATAATTTATTACTCTCCGCTAGTTACCGTTTTTGTGTTAAGAAACTATGCCGTTGTACGTTAGTAGCAGGTAGACTAGGTTGGCAGGGTAACACGTATAAATGCGTGTACATGTATATATAAATACGTATATCTCTCTTTATATTGGACACCGTAATAATGCAATCTCTGGCATGGCATAACTCGGAGCGACATTCCTCCGACGAATTTCGGTGTAATTATTATTAACAAGCAAGAGCTCGTGGGTCCGTTGTAAATCAAACTTAACGACGCACTTAACAACGTAAGAATCTAACGGAACATAAGTAGAGAGATTCACCAATTCTGACCATCTTTAAAGTTTTTCTACGAATCATGCATGATTTTTTTCGTACGAGAAATTTATCCACAACGTGATATTTAACAGCTAATCATTGTGATCGTTTAAAACTTATTTTTTGGACGTTTCGAATGGTAATCTATACCAAATTAAAATCCAAACAAAATGCCGAAAGATGGACAGGTATTATTGATCTTTGTCTTGACAATAATTCAATCAAAGTTTACAAGATAAACAACCCGTGCTAGCTAGGATGAGCAACGCGTGTATTTGTCCGGCAGTTGTCGATGCATGCACAACGTTTCGGTATCATTAGCATAACCATTGTATAAATTATAGGGAGGACCAGGTGCTCGTCGACTTATTGCAAAGTGCCAAAGGTGATTTCAACACCGTCTTTTTGCCATTGTGGGAAGGAATAAAGAGGACACTCTTGAGTTTCCCCATCGTTTTGCTATTATATTTAACCAATTCTCATTCGAAATATTTGTCAAGAATCTCTTTATCTTTCTTTTTTTTTTTTTTTTTTTTTTTTTTTTTTTTTTTTTTTTTTTTTTTTAACCAAAAGTCAAGAATACACCTATATACGTGCGTGTATGCGATCGTTTAGAGAACATAGTTTTAAAATGTTCTCGTAGAGAGTTAGTTTACATAGTTAATATTATAATATTGATGAACGTATTTGAAGATTATATAAGTCTCGTTAGAAGGAGAGTGTGTATATATATATTATATAATATATATATATATAATATTAGATCGAGATCGTATCGCGTGCCTTTTTGGATTGGCACGCGTCGCACGCGTCGGAACGGAGAAGGTCCTGTCTTGGGAATGAGAAACGTTGGAACCTGTTGTAAGGATATAACTCCGTTTTCTCTCTTTCTCTCTCTTTTTCTTTTTTCTCGTGCTTCGAATAGCTACGCACGAGAGCCTTCGAGACAAGGAGGATTTTTCCTCGTGGAAAAGCAAACACAGTATAGAACCCCATAACAAACGGCAACTATCGAGTGCCTGTTAGAGATAGTAAGGAGAAATGAAAGGTCCTCGAACGTTGTGCTGTTGCTCCAGCACAATGAACGCTACCGAGTGGCTCGCACGACGAGATGACCGGGCCCTCTACCAGTGTGTAACTTTTTTCTTTCTCTTTCTAACCCCACCATCCCTTGAGAAACCCGCGGGCTGTTTAGACAGCGAACGCTTCGCCGTGTGTTATGATTGACGTGTATAAATATTTGGTTAGTCGCCTTGCCGTTTCATGCGTAAATCGTACGCACGCGGGGCTTATAGAGAACCGAGCTAGCAGCGTGTATCTGTCCTCTGCTGTTTCTATGTGTTTGTATGTATCTCTTTCTCTTTCTTTCTTTCTTTCTTTCTTTCTTGTTCTTCATCCCTATCTTTATCTAAGCATTCGATTTTTACTATATCTTTCTCTAGTCTTATTATGTACGCACGCGTGACCACCACGAACAGGACCTTCTTTTCTTTCTTTCTTTTTCTTTTTTCCTTTTTTGCTTTTTTTTTCTCTTTCCTTTTCTATTCCTTCAGGCGAGAAATTAATGACGTCCCGTGGACAGGCTCGTTACGCTCCGCGTGAGACTTTACGAACGGCCGAATGTCGTTACTAGAACGTGTGGAACGACACACAACGAGAAAAGGAGAAGAGATCAGACCGAAATCGGTCGAGAATACGCAGGGAACGAGTTGTCGACCATAAATTCCACGCCGTGTGTCGACTATACTGCACTTGCTAGATATTCTTGTACGCGAGAGACTTTAATGAGAGAACTTGATTGAAATTAACATCGTGTGGGAAGATTTTAAACAGATTTCTTTTTCCGTTCTCTTTTTCTTTTCTTTTCTTTTTTTTTTGTTTTTTTTTTTTTTTTTCGACAAACACACGTGTTGCATCTTATTAAAATGGTTTTCTTTTCTGTTTTCTTTTTTTTTTTCTTTTTTATTTATTTATTTATTTTCGTCTACGCGTGCACTCTGTAATAATACATATGCATTTGAATTAAAAATAAAATATTTTACGTACAGTAATTATATTTTTTATTACCGACTGTTATTTTAGAACTTGGCGTTTTTAATAACGAACAAAGGTCTACTTCGATTGGTCAATAATTTGTCGTACGTTAAAGTTAGCAGAAAGTTTTCTCTCGACAATTATTTAACATAGCTTCCAATGACCCTTTAAGTAGCGTTGTGTGTTATTTCACGTGTTTTAACATGAGTCACCCCTCAGGTATGAAAGAGTAGTTTCGTTTCTTAGACCATTCGAAAGGTATCGGATAATAATCGCGTAAAAGAAAATACAAAGAGCAAATGCTTTGGAAAAAATATTTCGAATGATCTACGAGCTCGTATTTCGAGGTACGTTTCATGGATCCTTTTCTATCGCGAATCTCTCAAAGCGAAAATCCCTTCGTAAGGATCAAAGCCCAAAGGCAACATCCACCCACGATATAGTAAATCATTCGAACGTTAGGAAGAAGGGTTCAAGTGTGCGAACAACATGGATCCACCTCCCTTTGTGTTATGTATAGCCAACTATGATTTGTAATATATTATTTTTGAATTGTTTTAAATTACAGGCTCCATGACTACGATGAGCAACCGTGATAATAGGAGAAGGGCGTCCATTCGGCAATATCTCCTTTCGTGGCTAAAAACCTTTCTGGATTCTCTAGAAGCATACATGTAAGAAGAAGAAAAAGAGCTAGAGTGGAGAGAGAGAGAGGGAGAGAGAGAGATCGAACCTTATGCAAATGCAGCTGAGTACAAACGATCCTGTGAAATCTTTACAAGTATGGCTTAACTTTAACTTTAACTTACCATAAGGTAAGCGAACGACTACCGACGATAATGGGCGAAAGACAACGCGACTAACACAAATGGCAAACCGCAATGGAAATTACCGGTTAACATGTCATTATCTGCCAATACCTTTTACGTTTATCGCAGATAATACGTATTCGCGAATTATTTCAACTTTTTTCTTTAATATACTTTATATGTTCAAATTTACTTTAATCGATATTTGAATATTTTTTTTTTATTATTATTAGGTTAAATTTGATCAAACTTTGTATTATCCGTAACAAATTTCGTTAGATATTATTTGTCATACGTTCTTGAATCAAGAAGAAAAATAAGAAGAAACGTCAAACACGACAAAACGATTCCGAGATTCGTTTATACAGCTATCATCAAGGATCGCGGAGAGTTCGCGTGGGTAGAGACACGATAGATGGGTTAGGATATACTCGTACACTACGGTGCTTTTGAAATCGATATAGTGGCAAAGCTTTGCTAGAAAATATGGAATAAATCATGGAAACGGAATACGTCGTTGAAGGTAAACACGAATGGTAAGATTCTTATCGACTATCGTAGATCTTTCTCGTCGATCCATTTATATATATATATACGAATTGAAAATTTTCGTACGTTCGTAGGGAATAATCGTGAAAGATCTAGTGGTATCGTTTCGCGACTAGTTTCGGTATCGGAATGCAATATCGCTCCTACGATCTCTCTCATCTCGAAAAACGGGATCACATTTTACAGCTGCTGCGCTACATCCTGCTGGTGCTGTTGCACGTTTGCCTATTAGGTTCGGTTCGGTTCTTCAACCACGCAGAAAAGAAGAATTTTCCAGGAAACGCGTGGATGATTTAAAGAGCAATTGTCGATCGTCGGATGGGACAATTTCTCGGGAATTATCGTCTCGTAAGTTTGTACCAGAAAGGATGCGGAAAAACAGGTCGGATTCGATCGTTCGAAATCGCGTTAAGGAGATTATTTATTGGAAAATATTGGTGCCGAGAGAACGATTAGCATGCTAATGCCGTTCTACCGTTCACCTTATTCGCTCGTTCATAGGTGCAACTTGGTAGATACCTACATATATATATATATAGCAGCCACGGGTGTCAGCTAATCTGCCATTATTAAATTATCCATGCGCGCACCATCGAGACGACGATGATCGTCGTTTATCAATATCGTTTGCTATACGCAAATGCGTCCCCGGCTACTAATACTACCGATCTTTTACATCTATACGTTAGCATTTAATATAACATAGATAACATCAAGTACCTTATACGAGTGACGATAAGGATACCTGTTCATTTTTTATACTAAGATCGCCAACAGTGTGAATCTCGCATATACTTCTTTATACAGGATCTCTTTTTTTCCTTACGTTTAATTCCATACGTCCCAACATAGAATTTTTTCCCAATTTACTCGATGATAAATCGAAATAGATAGATTTAGATCGGTATCGATATTGTTTCTAAACAAACCGTTAGTTTAAGCTACTTTCTTTCCTGATTTGTAAGACGTTCATTTTGCAAATTGTAATCCGTACTTTCTCGATCAGCGATCAATTCTCCTTTTTTGAGATTACAATAGACATTTCTATTGTTCGTTCCGTTTGATCAAAATCAAGGTCTAGTTCGTTGTTTCGTATTGGAGTTTATTCGAAAGACGACAAAAATCGGTTTAAGATTAGAAAACTTGAAAACAAAAGGATATAATAAAAATAAATATTTCTTTAACATCGTGCCTCCGTAATTGTTAAGTCTTGCATCCAAAGTATTAAATTTATGTACTTGCGAGTACACATCCTTGAGCTACTACGACCTGGATGCTTGAGAAAGATCAAAGCTACATTATCTCGAGAGAAGTTTCGTGGGGAAAATATTTTGAGTTGGAGAGAAACTCGTGGCAGGTGTCTCATACGAGATTACTACGAGGTGCTCGTCGGGAGTCGGAGCTAACTAACTTCAAAAAGTCGACTTTGAGAAAATGTGATGAGGACGACACCCAACCGCGTGGAGAGGAAAGATATAAAGAAAGAAAAATCGTATACGCGAGCTCTAGTGAAAGAGAAGATAAAAAAGAAAAATAAAATGAAAGAGAAAGAGGACCAAAGATAGTCGTCGTATCGAAACCATAATTTCGAAAGTTTATCGGTGCGTTCATGACAGGGACCAAAAGGTTCATCGTGTGTTTGCTGCGCGCGTGTATTCGTATGAAGAAAGAAACTATATAAGCTCTTGAAAAGTAAGCACTTATAGTTCTATTCATGTAAATTCGTTTAAAACGTTTGCAACCCTGACGCAACGCAATTCAATACAACGCAACGTAACGCAACGCCGGCGAGAAGTAATCGTGTAAGACAGCTCGATAATATGCTAATAATACTCTCAACGGGCGGTAATTTATGCTCATTATATCCGGCCTGGATATTGTAATTATTGTTTCGTTCAATGTGCTTACCTGTTAGGTATATCCTATACAATAGTCACGTTAAGGGGCGTGCACGAGGCGTTTATTGTTTCATTAAAACACCGACGTAACCTACTCGATTTACAGAAGTGATAGGGATAGATAATAATAGAAGATTGCTTGCGGCCACCACCGATTACTTTTAATAATTAATTTACGCGATATTAAATATATCATTTTGTTTAAATAACGGTCTAGATATATATATCACGAAATGATTTGTAAACGTGATTAGAAGCCTCGTTGGAATTCGTTCCATTTCTATATATAATTCTCAATAACTCGAGAAATATTTTATCGTTAATACGATCGATATAGATAAAAAGATAATGAGAAAGAAAAGAAAAAATAATCATAATAATAAAGTAGAGACTTCTTACCGCGACGAGGGCGCTGAGAGCTTCAATTCGCATAGTAGCTGGCCAGGCCAGCGGGGAGGCCGTAGGTTCCAAGCTGTTGGATCGAATTCACGTATCGATCCTCGATTGTTATTATCAAATTGTGATCTTGTTTTTCTTGCGATTTCACTCGGTTAGAAATACGATGATGCCCGGCGGCCGATAATCCGTTTCTCCTGGCTCCTCCACTTCGATTTCTTGTGGTCCGCCGTTTGGTTGATTGGGTGACATGGCTACCACCACCGCACCACCGATCTAAAAAAAAAAACAATCTTTTTTATCTTACGTAAGGTGAACAAATAAACGATGATAACGATAGCTCGAATCGATTATTTATATAATATATGTGCATATGATATATTATAATATATTAATATTATTAGGGTGAAACACAAAAGATCGTGAATTTTAAAATGAATATTTTCAAAGTAAATTTGTCAAAGTAAAGTTTCAACATAATAAACGCACGAACTTTTGGTTCATCCTAATAATAATTTTTGACACCTTTTTAGAGTAGAAATTATTTCGTGGCAAATCTGGATTATTCGTTTCGAGAAAAATCACCATTGATAATTCGATAATATACGATTCTTGCGGTTGTTGCTTTTGGAATCGTAATCGAATCGATAAAGAACAGAAAATAGAATATCGTTACCTCGTTAAACAATAATTGTTATAAACCTATGAGGACATCCAAAGAAGATAAAGAGAGTGAGAGAGAGAGAGAGACACACATACACACATTCTATGTAAAGGAACGAATTGCGTTGGTTGTTTGGATCGCAATTGGAAAATGAATATGTAAATGTTGAACTCGCGCGACAATCTTCGATATCACGACGACGACATGTACATAAATCGGACTTTACATCGGTTATATCGATAGCAATCTAAATACTTGCACGCGCGGCGGTGAGGTACAATGAAAAAGATGCCAGTGAATAAAAGTCAAATGTACACGATCGTAAATTATCGTCTTACTATAGAATATCTGTCGTCGAAGAGACGACGACGACGACGACGACGACGACGATGTTTCTTGAAAGGATTGGCAAAACTATGAAAAAGATATTTCCGTATTTCTTATATAGGAAAATAAAAGAAATAATAAAATAAAATAAAATAAAATAAAATAAACATCGTTTTTTATAGAAGATAAATATAAAAATCCGTTCTAATCTTTAAACGAATTTTTCTATTCCGCCACCACCCGCGCAAAGTTGCATGACCCGTTGCGTGCCCCGTTGCATGCCCCGTTGCATGCCCATGCACTTACGAGATTCAGACGTGAATTTTTTCCCACCTTTTGTACGAACCAACGGGGAGGAATGACAGACGTAAAGAGAAAGAGAGAAAGAGAGAGACGATTTCTTTCTTTTATCCTTTTCTTTTTTCTTTACTTTTTAAAAGCTAACAGACGGATGGATCAGCGTGCGTGCGAAACGTTAAAATACCTCGTCATTCTTCAGGCTCCTCCACCAACACACCACACACTCGTTAGCATAAATTCGTTTTCGTGCAGAAGAGAAGAAGAAGAAGAAGAAGAACAAGAACAAGGAACTGCAATGGTTAATAACACAAAAAAAAAGAACGTACTTTTGTTAGATAGAAAGTAAAATTGTAAGTAACTATATGTATCTTTGGTTTAAAAAGCTTTCGAAACAATTTGAATATTTTCCACGTTTAATCGATTTCTTTCAATTTGACATAGTTTTAACGAAAAATCATTCACTCGCGTTTTATTTACCCCGAATTCGTAAAGATCGTCATACAATATACAACCGAAGGAAAAAAAATAAATTAAAATAATGATATTACTCGACACGAGCACCTCGACGAATCGAGTTCGACTGGATTGGCATTTAAAGTTTTGCCGATAAAAATGCAATCGATCGGCAGGGGAGAAGCGCCGGCTATTTGAGTATGAAAGAAAACAAAAAAGAAAAAAAAAAAAAAAGAAAGCAAAAGGGAGAGAAAGAAGAGGCGCGTCAAATTTCGTCATCGAGAACTCCACGATGACGATCGGCCGGCAGTTCTCTTGCCATTCTCGAGATATCTTATCGATGAAGTGTCAAACGTCTTTTCCTCTTTTTCTTCCCCCTCTCCTTCTACCCCCTTGCCACGTGTATTTTCGAAGAGTAATAATTACGTCTCGTCATCTAACGATCCGGTGTAGTATTACTGACCTACCAAAGAAAGAGAGAGAGAGAGAGAGTGAGAATTCCCCTTTAAGCAAGCTTTTCATTCGAATTTTGTCGCGTCATTTTATTGGAATCATTTATCACATTATCTCTTAAGTTTACATATTGCATCGTTGTTCATCGATTTGAGAGAAATTATCAAACGATCATGTTATTATCATTATTATTATATCTTTCTTTCTTTTTTCTTTTCTATTATTATTCTTTCTTTCCCCAAAAAAAATAGCATTATTAAAATTATTGTCCACATGAGAAAAATAATAAGAAGAAATACCAAAGCGTATCCTACCACTTTCACCGAATGTATCATATACTTACTAACTTACTAACTTACACTTACTTACTTACTTACAATTAGCTTTTTTTTTTGTTTCACGTGGTTGTTTCATAGTAAAGTAGTCGAGACAAGTAATCCGAAGCAAGTAAGGAAGCAAGAGTTTCGTTTAAGGATTCTATTTGCTTAAATGCAAGTTAGTAGATAGACTATACGACGACGATAGCACCCAGCATGGCGGGTATCGAACGTTGCACGCCGGGGGATCCAGTATCATTCGTTATATGAGTTAATGACTCTCGAGAAATCATCGATTGGTCCGTCCCGAAGTCGAGACGCCTCTCACGCGCTGTGAAAACACGCCTTCTCACGTACTGTAATGGACGAGATGTGTGGTGTTATGTGCGTTTTCTTACTCTTACGGTGAATGTACCATTATAAGTGTCGTCTCGTACTTTAATGCACGTGGAAAAAGCGAAATACATGTGATGGGTGGTTCGATTGAAATTATTTCTCCCCCTTTCCTCCCTTCCCCCCTCTGGGTACAACAATAAAAATCTATGCGTCAGTTTTACGAGAGATCAACGAAATACAAAATGTTTTTTATTCTCTTTCTTTCTTTTTTTTTTTAAATATCTTTGAAAGGGGGTGAGGGGGGGAATTCGCGATAAATTAATACACATTGATTAATTATTATATCCGATTAACGATCGTAAATTTCACATTAGAGAACATTATTATTTGATTGAAAAGATATATATAAAAAAAAATTGATAAAAGAAAACAACCATAAAGGTTTTTTTCTCTATTTGAACTCTAAACGCTTTTCTGAGAGAATCCAATGACGAATGTGTTTTTTCCTTTTTTCTTTTTTTTTTCAGACGAATCGTACGTGAATGTCGTTTGCTTCGACGATCGAGATCATCGTCGTGAATCATTCTTCCTGATCTTTTTCCGTGGGTGTTCGAACACCACGGAATAGGCTAGTGAACAGGGTATACTATACTATATTCGATCGTACCAGGTAGGCGGCGCAGAAAATCGATAAAAGCCGGCTCCCGCGTAATCGTAAGCGGATTAGGAATATAATTTTGGATTATCCCGCGTAACGGTGGAAGGTATATCTATTGGTGGCATTGCCAATGAATCATCGTTCCGTCAAGGAATTCGATGATAACATTTGAGGAATAAGAAAGAAAGAATGAGTGAGTGAGAGGAAGAAGAAAAAAAGAAATCATACTAGGTTGATCTAATAGACAAACATAGCCGGCAAATCTTATCACGATTTTGACGATAATTATACATTTTTTACAAAATAACTAGACAGACATCTTTTTTCATTCCTAGAAACGTATTTTTTATCGCGATGTTATCGTCAATATTATACTAAGATATTATACTAAGTATTAAGTAGTGTAATAGACGTATCATCAGAGGATAGGAATTTATTTGGTGAAGATCTATTGAATTTTAAAAGATCAATCATTTATTGATTCTAACAATAAGATATTAATAGAAATAATATAATATTAGATTTCGTTTATATATTTCATATATTTTTTTTCGTTCGATCGAACACGAGGATCGATGAAAAAAACTCGTTGGAGAAATTTATCCACGCTTTATTTAATTTAAATCGTAATCGTGGTATAGTAGCAGTAAATTTCTAGAATGAAAATTAGCGAGACATGTTAATCTTCTTAAAGTATATCATATAAATGAAGTATGTATAATGGCCCGAGATTATCTATTAAAAGGTAGATTTGATTCTTAGCTGTTTAATAATTATGACACTATAAAGTAGTCTAACAAATTCTTAATGAAGGAATAAACCATATCTATTATTTCTTTTCTTTTTTTTTTTTTTTCTTCTCTCTCTTAATTATTTTCAATTAATTTTTTTCTTTTGCTCCAATTTCTTTGGCGGCACGCACTTTGAAAAAGATTTTAGCGGTCATGCGTTTACGGCTTCACAGTTACCTTGGTATACGTGCGAGTTAAAGTAATTACCTAGTTATTCTGACTCGATCAAGCGTAATTCTCGATGCGTTAATAGATATCGATATTACTCTCTTGAAGAAATTAAAAAGAAATAATAATTTTTTTTTTAATCGCGATCAATTATCAATACGATTAAACGAAATAAAATGAATGAGGGAAATAATAACGATAGAAATAAAGGAATTAAAATTGTAGAACGCGATTAAATCGAATATACTTCGTTATTTTTATTTAATTCGTACGTAGGAACAATGTAGGATATCTTAATTGTGCGAGTAAAATATCTTTTGATCGATTACGATCGAATCGAATAATAAAATGTCAGGATGATATTTCAACGATGATTCGTGGTGATTCTGTGAATCTCAATCGTGAAGAAATAGCGAATGATTAAACTTAAGGGAAATACTAAGGTATACGAATACCTAGATTATAGGTATCAATAAATCGTAAGTATTCGCATGATTTTATAGTCCGTTTGTATTTCGACACGAATCGGACTTTGTTTCTATGAGTCACAAATACACGTATATTATACTTATTACAAATATATATATATACTCATCCAGTGGCGCCTGGAAAATCTTGATAAAACTTAACAAAGAGACAATTGCATGAGTTATTTCAGATATACTGGCGCCTTCTCAACCCATATACCCCTACGTCATTATTTTATTATCGTTCGTTTTTTTTGTTTGTTTTTTTTTTTTTATAGGATAATCTGTAGAAACATTCCGTGCACATGGCTATATCGTTGCGAATAACATTTTCTTTACAACAATGTAACCCTATCGTCATATAGTTAACTAATTTTTCATATTTTCTCTCTCTCTTGTACACAT